GAGGAGTGTGACTGTGGACCTGACTGTGGTAATAACCTCTGCTGTGATGAAACATGTAGGCTGAAGGCAACAGCACTGTGTAGTTCTGGACCTTGCTGTAATGAAACGTGTGGATTTCTAGAAAAGGGAATCATGTGCCGTTCTCCTTTTGGAGAGTGTGACCTCCCAGAGTATTGTGATGGTAACTCTGACAGATGCCCCACCAACACATACAAGCAAGATGGTACACCTTGTGAACGAGTTCACTATTGCATTGAAGGTCTGTGCAAGACTGCTGATTTTCAATGTGTAAACGTTTTTGGATACCCTGCAAGGTCAGCCCCAGAAGACTGTTATATTTCCATGAACACTAAAGGGGACCGGTTTGGAAACTGTGGCCTTCCCACTTCAGATAACCAGGAATATGTAAAGTGTACAGCTGAAAATATATATTGTGGGAAAATTATATGTACAAATGTTAAAAATATACCAGTGGTCAAACCCATGCACACAATGATCCAGGTGCCTCATAGGGATGACTGGTGCTGGAGCATGGATGCCTATAATAATACTGATATCCCTGATGATGGAGATGTGGATGCTGGCACACGTTGTGCTCCAGAAAAAATCTGTCTGAATTACTCCTGCATTGATCATGCTGTGCTGAACTACGACTGTGAACCAGGACGAATGTGTAATGGGAAAGGAGTTTGCAACAATTTAAAGCACTGCCATTGTGAGGCTGGCTATGCCCCTCCTGACTGCACAACTATAGGAACTGGGGGTAGTGTGGACAGTGGCTCTCCTATTGTACAACGGGAATCTGAAAGTGCCGTCAATGTTGCCAAACATGAACATTTCATAAACAATAGGAGCATAATATTTCTCATACTTTTTTTCCTGCTATTAATATTAGTAACTGCTTTTATCACCCTTTTGTGTAAACATTCAAGAAAAGCTCCTCCAGAGCCCAAAGAAAAGGGTTCAGAAGAGGCAGCAGAAGAGGTTCAGCCAGAAGAAGAGGAAGAGGAGGAAGAAGAGGAAGAGGAGGAAGAAGAGGAAGAAGAGGAAGAAGAGGAAGAATCAGAGCCATAAAAGTAGTGAGAGGAAGAAGCTAAATATATCAAACATCTCAAGCACTGAGTGGGAATGAGGCTCAGGGAAGTACAAGTGAAGTGGGAATTGATGGCTTGGGGATGGGATCTGAATAAAAATATATCATCTATAAAAATACAATAATGTAGGAGGAGGGATTCATCCACTTTTGGAACTCATTTTAGTAATTAAGCTTTTATTTATTTAATATATTAAATATTTTACTTTTTCTTTTCCACATTTCATTTGAACTCTTCACATGCATCTGTAGACATCAATGTATTTGTTTTGGGCCAATTTTTCCATTCACCAGAAACTTTTTTAGTACATGCCATCTCTCATCTAAGTTGTTTGACATGTACTACTGCATTTGCCTGCATTTATTACTTTCACTTTGTAAGTAACCACTACCTATTATGAGGGTAGTTGTTTGTGTGGTCATTTTAATTTGCCTTATAAATGTACATTCATTAAATGAAGAGTGTTTAAACATAAAAATAAATAAAACCCTATTCAGATTATACATCTCTTCAGATTCCACTTGGCATAGTTATTGAGTCCATTTTGTTCTGGGACTCTGTGGGAGGTACTACACCTGGGAAGCCAGAAGACCCTGATTGTCCCGAGGTCAAGGGGCAAGTGTTAAAATCATCTGCCTTTTCAAATCTGGCAGGTGTTTAACATGATGTATGTATATCCAGTTTACTTCCCAGCATTTCCAAGAATTTCATAGAGCCATATTCCCTTTCACCTAAAAGGTTTCATTTATTTTTGTTCTAGAGCAGATTTCATAAACTTTACTCATTACTAATCTTCATGGGATGAATTTCAGACCTCTAAATGTCTCATGTCTGATGAGCATCACCTAGACTCAAAAAACTAAGCTTATTTTCTAACAGTATACACACCCCAACATACCATAGTGCTAAGTATATGTATAAAACTAAAATTTTGTCTTTTCTGTTTTTTTAATTTATTGAAATAATAACTTGCTGACTCATATCAGAAGGAATCTCTCCAATTATAGGCAAAGGAGCTTAGAGGTGGTAGATACTTCTCTATGAAGAAGCACAAAGCAAATATAATATTGTTATTCATTCTGTGGTAGGAACTATGTTAAATACTTCACATTCATTTTCTCAATTTAATCCTCCCAACTTCCCTATGAAATCTCCATCTTATTCATGAGGAAGCAAAGAAAATTTGCTCCAGAACTGGTCAGTGGTGGAACCTGTATCACTCCTCTCGTATGACTCCATCTCCATTCTCCACTCCCTCATGGGCTTTTTCCTGTGGTAAAAATGATGGAGAAAGCACTCAATATGTCCCTAATTGACCTCTATTATGAGTTCTCAAATTGTGTCATTATTATTGATGAAAATGTCTTTTCTCCTATTACATCCTGACATTATGGAAGAGCATGTTGTCTTCCTATTCAGTGCTTGGACTCAGCATATTGTAAATGCTTAATAAATGTCTATCACATGAGTAGTTTACTGGAGCTAACCTTAAAATACAGGGCCAGATTCATTCCCTTTGCAGAATGCCTCTTGCTACTCCTTAACACAACCAAAATCTTAGTAAGAGGCAATATTGATACTAAACTTTAAAAATTTACTCATATTAGAGAGGGAAGAGGGGAAGAGGGGGAGAGAGAATCCTAAGCAGACTCTTTGCTGAGCTTGGAGCCTGATAGGGCACTTGATCCCAGGACCCTGAGATCCCAACCTGAGCTGAAACCAAGAGTCAAATGCTTAGCCAACTGTGCCACCCTGGCACCCTGATTGCTAAACATTTATAAATTGTCAAGTAAATAATAAAAAGTTTATCAGGTCTTGATTTCCAGGAAATGAAGTGTTACCCACATTAGGGTAGACTATGGTAGGGGAGGAGGCCAGTTTTAATGTGGGCAGGAAAAAAGTTAGATGTAACTTGGGTTGTGAAATCTCCACATTTAAGGGTCAGTTTCTTATAAAGCTCAGGTGACAACAGTTCTGCATTATGTCTGACTGCCTCTAGGAAGTATACCTCTTCATCTGATTCCTCTCCCCCTTACATCTGGGGGATTCTGATGAATGCTTGCGTGTTCCAATCATCTGTGTCAGCAATCACCAGCCACCTGCTCCCCTAATGGTGACTTACTGCTACCTTTTACCTGTCTTTCCTGTGCAGCTATTGTCCCTTTTGTGCTGCCTCAGGCCATCAGAGAACCAGGCCCTTAATTCCTCAAAGCACGGCCGCATCCAGGCTCTACAATTTTAATCCAGATTTTGGAGCAAAGGGAAATTGCAAAGTGGAAAAGAAAAATGTGGGTGCTGAAGATACGTATTAGTGCTCCTGGAGTCCAGGGGTTATGCCTTAATGGTAGACTTAGGCCATTTCTCCCCTCGGACCTGACACAACATCCTCTCTTAATTCTGCAGGACTGCTTGTGAGAATATCCTTGTTGCCTGGAATAAGACTCCACCACATTCTCTGGGGCCCAGTGAAAGGCAAAAGAAACTTTTTTAATTTTTTCAAGATTTTATTTAGTTACTTGACAGAGAGAGACACACACACAGTGAGAGGGAGCACAAGCAGGGGGAGTGGGAGAGGGAGAAGCAGGCTTCCCACTGAGCAGGGAGCCCGATGTGGGGCTCGATCCCAGGACCCTGGGATCGTGACCTGAGCTGAGGACAGACGCTTAACAACCCAGGGGCCCCAAGAAACTTTAAAAAATAATAATTTATTGAAATCCCAGATCATATCTTCATAACCTCACATGAATGTAATTATGCCCACAACAAAGACATATGTTAGTTTGATAAAAATTCAGCTTTTTGTATGTTCAAAGTTCATTTTTAAGCTTATTTTTATTGAAATATAATTGACATATAACATATTAGTTTCAGGTGTACAACATGATTTGTATTTGCAAATACTGTGAAATGGTTACCACAGTAAGTCTAGTTAACATCCGTCACCACACAGTTAAAATTATTTTTCTTATGATGAGAACTTTTAAATTCAACTCTCTTAGCAATTTTCAAATACACAATACAGTATTAATTAGTCATCATGCTATATATTATATCCGCAGGACTTATTTATTCTAACTGAAAGTCTGTACTTTTTAGTCACCTTCACCCATTTCACCAACCCTCTCATGCCCTGCCTCTGGCAACTTATTCCCTGTATCTATGAGATATTTTTGCTTTTTGCTTGTTTTTAGATTCCACATACAGATGAGATCATATGGTATTGGTCTTTCTCTAGTGACTTATTTTACTTACCAGAATTCTCTCAAGATCCATTCATATTGTTATAAATGGCAAGATTTCTTTCTTTTTTATTGCTCAATAATATTGTATATATATTACATATACCATTCCCTTATATATAGGTATATATTAGATATTTTATATGTATATATAAATATATATATTTCTTTATCCATACATCCAATGATAAACACATAGCTTGCTTCCATGTCTTGATTATTGTAAATAATGCTCCACGAATATGGAGGTACAGAGATCTTTTCAATTTAGTGTTTTCATTTCCTTTGGATAGCCAGTAGTGGAATTGCTAAATCATATCATAGTTCTCTTTATAATTTTTTGAGGAACCTCCATAGTGTTTTTCATAGTGGCTGCACCTATTTATACTTCCCCCAACAGTGCACAAGGGTTCCCTTTTGTCTACATCCTAGCCAACTCTTGTTATTCCATGTCTTTGATAATAACCATTCTAACATGTGTAGTGTGATATCTCATTGTAGCTTTGATTTGTATTTCCCTGATGATTAGTGGTCCTGAGTTCCTTTTTATGGACCTGTTTGCCAGCTGGTATGCCTTCTCTGCAAAATGTCTATTCTGCCCATTTTTTATTTGGATTGTTTTATTGCTATTTAGTTGTTGGAGTTCTTTACATATTTTGGATATTAACCCCTTATTAAGTACATGATTTGCAAATACTTTCTTCTATTCAGTAGCTGCATTTTCACTTTATTGATGGTTTCCTTTACTGTGGAAGCCTTTATTTTTTATTTTAGATTTTATTTAAATTCAAGTTAGTTAACATATGTGTAGTATTAGTTTCAGGGATAGAATTTAGTGATTCATCACTTGCATATAACATCCAGTGCTCATTTCATCAAGTGCCCTCCTTAATGTCCATCACCCATTTTACTCAATGCCCCCACTCACCTCCCCTCCAACAACTCAGTTTGTTCCCTATTTTTTAAAAAAGATTTTATCGGGGTGCCTGGGTGGCTCAGTGGGTTAAGCCTCTGCCTTCCGCTCAGGTCATGATCTCAGGGTCCTGGGATCGAGCCCCACATCGGGCTCTCTGCTCGGCGGGGAGCCTGCTTCCCCCTCTCTCTCTGTGTGGGGCTCTGCCTACTTGAGATCTCTCTCTCCCTCTGTCAAATAAATAAATAAAATCTTAAAAATAAATAAATAAAAAAGATTTTATCTGTTTATTTGAGAGATAGAGAGCAAGAGAAAACACGAGCCAAACGGGGTGGGGAGGGTCAGAGGGAAAGGGAGAAGCAAACTCCTTGAAGAGCAGGGAGTCCAGTGTGGGGCTCCATCCCAGGACTCTGAGCTCATGACCTGAGCTGAAGGCACTTAAATGACTGAGTCCACACAGGTGTCCAGTTTGTTCCCTATCATTAAGAGTCACTTACGCTTTGCTTCTGTAAGGGCCTATTCAGCCAGAGCGGCCCACCCCGGTGGAACTGCCATTTTGTTGTAAAACTTAAATTGACCTTGCCCCCCCCAGGGGAACTTACTTAAAAGCAAGTCCGGGAAACCAGTCCCAGGTAACAAAGTCCAAATACAAGGGTGGGTCAGGCCAGGTGGAGGTATTCAATCAGTGGGGGCACCTACGGTCTCCTAGCTACCAAGGAGTATAGGCCCCACCCTTTGGGCACCTTTTGGGCACCAATTCTGAACTAGGTGATAGGCTGGTTCAAATGTCTACTAGGGTAAATTGTAATTCAATTGGTTGCCTAGCATCACTGTGGAGTTTCCTGTGTGTGTGTTACAATCTCATTGGCCACCTGTGTGTGGCCAGGCCCAACCACATGGCCTTTGCTCTATAAAAGTTAGTCTGGAAAGCAGGGAGGGGTCGTCCTCTGGGTAGGGGCAGCCCCGACCCGTCTGTTTGACAGTCGGTCTGATTCCTGATGCTTGGCGCGAAATAAAGCTTTGCTTAACCTTCACTTTGTATCAGTCTCGCTCCTTTAATCATGGACCCATTATTGGGGTACCCAATTTTGGGGGGACCCAACACTTCCTTCTCTGTTTTTAGCTTACCTTATTTTTTCCTTCCCTTCCCCTATGTTCATCAGTTTTGTTTCTTAAATTCCACATATGAAATCGTATGATATTTGTCTTTCTCTGACTTATTTTGATTAGCATAATACCCTCTAGTTCCATCCATGTTGTTGCAAATGGCAAGAGTGCATTCTTTTTGGTGGCTGAGTTATATTCCATTGTGTATATATACCACATCTTCTTTGTCCATTCATCAGTTGAT